AGAGAGAGAGAGAGAGATAGAGAGATAGAGAGAGAGAGAGATAGAGAGATAGAGAGATAGAGAGATAGAGAGATAGAGAGATAGAGAGATAGAGAGATAGAGAGATAGATAGATAGACAGATAGACAGACAGATAGATAGATAGATAGATAGATAGATAGATAAGTGGGTGACTAGATAAAAAAGTGCAAACATGTAGACATGTGCATGCCTGCATGCATGTATGTATGAATGCATGTTTGTGTGTGAATGTATGGAGACTTACAAAATCTAGGCCATTGCCAAATACCATGCCAAACACTATGACACAATAGAATAATTAGAACAGACTGGACTAGAATAGAATTGAACAGCACAACATAGAACAGAACGGAATGGAGTAGAATAGCATGGAATAGAATGCAATAGAGCATAGAATAGTATGGATTCGTAAAGTATAATAGCGAAGTCTAGCGCAGCGAAGTATGGTATAGTATAGCAGAGCTTAGCATAGTATAGTATACGGTAGTGTAAGGTAGTGTAGTGTAGTGTAGTGTGATATAGCATGCCATGGAACAACAAATCACATGATGCGTATTCACACATACAAAGTACCTATTTGCTACTATATCACATAGAACAGAAGTTATACATTCTTCTATAGCATAGCGAGGCGTACATCCCGTATGGCAGCTTATGCGTCGTATAAAACATACAGCATATGGCACCAATGTTACATGGAATATTTCAGTGCGTTGCACTGCAAAACAACAGGTAATATTCATCAGCTAACTTCTACCATGTATGCCAAACACAATACAATAGATAATATGCTGTGTTATCACACTATAGCACAAGGATGCTATAACATTGTGAAACTATGATGCTGTACATATATTTAGAACATTGCAACATTGTAACTTTCGCCATATCGAAACATTGAAAGATCGCAACATGTGCAAAATTCATTTATCGCATATCGTTCACAGATTAATATCATACAATAAAGTCCTTCTTGGGCATGTTTGTCTGCTTGTAGTATACAGTACGCAGTATAGACTATGCAGTATGTAGAATGAGCTGAATAGTAGACGTCATGCGCTGTATTGTGTACACTGCAGACTATACTTTCAACTACATATTCTGTACTGTCATTGTAAATACACATAATTACTGCATTTACGCACCACTTAACCGATGGGCTGAACTACGCTAGACAGGGGTGCTGAACAAGCCTGCGTGTCGCGGGCATGGAAGGCGAGTGTGTCACGCATACCTTAGCCGACAACCCAGATGCATTAATACATCTGATATCATCTGATGTCATGTCCAGGCATCCGGCACTTTCCAGCAATTGGTATCTTCGTTCTCGGACAGTGTTCCACGCAAGCGCCATCGACCTTAAAGTCAGAAGTCACAGACACGTTTTGTGGGGGTCGGCGACTTGAACCTTCTATGCAAAGATCGGCAGGCAGACAGGCACTCTCTTTCAACTGGAACTCCTGTTGCAGTAGGAGATGGACCAGAACCAATGGCACCGCACAGGAGGGCCGCACGACCACCATGCCAACCTGAGCAATCTGCAAGTTGCTGCCAAGCTTGCTAGAACGACCCGTTCGCGGAGAATTCTGAAAAATCCCAAAATAGGCTCGCAAGCCAGAATCCGAAGACACGCAGTGCACCGGTATGCTCCGGGCATCATAAAGGCGGCCAACATGGATTGCGCAGACCTCGTCAACACACGACACGGTCCCTCCAGCGGCTCTTAGCGACTGTGGCGGTGGTTACCAAGACGATGCCGCAAGCTGTTGCTGCTTCATTTTGTGCCCACCAGTCTACTTGTGCAACTTTTCGTAGGCTCACGGCTCTATAGAGACCCGTCTCGATCGAAGTCATGCCTTGCGGAAGCCCACCACATCCGAAGCAGCCACTTTCAACTGCAAGCTACCAACTGCAATAAGCCCGCGGCCTTCGTAGGTTATCTGATCCTGACCCTCTGAAACAACCTGTCAGCAAAGCATGAGTCAGTCAAGCAGTCACATGTGGTGGCGATAAATGGTGCATTTCTCGTCTAGCTCTAATTAGTGAGTCTTTCCTCTGGCGGGCACCTGCCCCAATGCTCCAATTACCGGGGTTTCGTCCGACATCGTGAAAACAGGGTAGCTACCATGCAATCGGCCTGGCTGATCGGCTCTGAGAAAGGATTCAATATCCTCGGGCCTGCCGCAACACCGCTTCGCACAGCACCCGACATGCGAGATCTTAGAAGCTCTGGTTTTTCAACAACACAAGCAGCTTCTTGCCAAAGGGAATCTATGCGTCCGTCTCCTTAATCTGTGTTCTCAAATGCTTGAGACCTGATTGTTGTCCGCTCTCCACTTGCGCGCAGGGGAGATTGGAGGAGTGACACACCGGGCTTATTTTGCTGAGGAACAACACCCACGGCGTGATAAAAAGGCCCAAGTCTCGCATCAAACATCTAGCATCATGATCATCACGGGCCTCCCCAATCTCACGCAAGCAAGCCAGCATCATGAGCATCGCGGGCCCTCTCTTTCTCCAAACTTCCCTCTTAATTTCGAGAAGGGCAACCAAGCAAAGCATGTTCCGAAAGGGGTCGGGGCCGTTGGATGGGGTGCTGCTGGGGCGCGGCCAGGGTGACAAAGAGGGCCGGGATCTAAAGATCTATAAAGTGCTCCTGTTCCTTTAAGTACTTTAAACCCTACACCCAATCCTAAACCCTTCCTCAAAGGTGAGCCTAAAGCAGAACATAAACCGTCAACCCTCACCAACCCACACCCCAAATCCCCACCAAAGCCCTTGTCGACTCGAAGCCTTATACCTTTAACCCTAAACCCTAAACTCAAAAGCTTAAGCTAAACCAAACCCCAAAACCCCCACAACCGCCCCACAGCCGGAACAGAGACCCCACACCCCATCTCACAGGGGGGACCGGGGTCCTGGACCATGGGGGGACGGGGGGGTTGTATTTGTTTATTTGCTCATTGTTTATATATGCAAACAGTTGGCAAGTGTTTTCACTTATGCTAGGCATATATACATACATACATACATACCCAAATACGTACGTACGTACGTATATATATATATATATATGTGTGTGTGTGTGTGTACATACACACATACGTACATGCCTGCATGCCATCTGAAATGCCCCCAGCCTATCAAATCGAAGCTGCAGCGTTGCTGGTTGGGGAGGAAGTGCACCGAGTCCTGGAGCTTCCGACATTGCTACTCGCTTACTGAGTGCGCTCGAATCAAATCTCGGGGTCGTGTTAGATGATGGCTGCGATTCACGGCAGAATGACAGACCGTCACCATGGGCACGAAAGTCTTTGCCAAAGCAATGCTGCACCGGCAGCAACCACACGTCCTCCTGCTGCAAGTTGAAACCCAGAATCGACATCGGAAAGACCTCGTCGACCCTGGCATCACATCCGCACCTGTCAGGCCAGATCTTGGGATCTCACATGCCGTTGGCAACCGTTACTTTGCCGTGACCGCCTCAAGAGCTCCTGTGGATTGCAGGGGTCCGTCAGTGGCGGGTTGCAGTCCAAAGCTGTCGCGCAGATCTGGGCAAGCAGTCCGACGGACGAGATTCACCGGAGGGCTGTGGCTCAGGCACCGGCTGGCGAAGGGCTTCGGGTGCCAACCTCGTACTGGTACATGCAGAACATGTGTCCTGGTCACGGACAGGCCAAGATGGAAACAGGATTCAACTGAACCCGCTACCAAACTTTTTCAATCTCAGCCGGATATCCTGCAAAAGGCCCATTGCCCACCATGGGAGATGTCTTGATGGGCTCTTCCCTGTAGCAAAGCTGCGTGTCCAGCAATTCTCTACATATGCCGATGGTAAGCTTCAGCAAGTCTCGCAGGAGTCAGAGGCCCCGGCTGGATGTTGTTGACGGACTGGATCGTAAGCGAGGTATCCTTCCAAAGTGCGATCTCATAAACCAAACTTCGTGCCACGGTCTCAGTCCCAGGCGTTGGCATTCAGGGCGGCTGGTAGAAGGAAGCCCTGAGTCAGCTCATAACAGTCATAACAGTCACACACACAAAGTACTCAAAGTCTCCAAACTTGGAACACTGTTAGGCCTGGCTCTCTTCGATGCGTAGGTCCATCATTGTGAAGGCAGGGATTACCTGCTGAAAGGGCACACTCTCAATAAAGCGGGTGGGTAGAAATGAATGGCGCTCTGTACGTCTGCCTCTCTGAGCGGCACCGATAACCTCGGCAAGCCGTGGGCATCGATCGACACGTGGCATGAGGGAAGGTCTGAGGCACTCGCCTCAACCTTGCGGTCGTCTCATTCCAGTAGCCCATCGAGTTCTCGATGCGGAACCGGTCCTGCTTCTTCTAGACTGAGAAGTCTTTCAACAAGACTGGGCATGCGAGGAATCCAGGCAACCATGCAGCAAACCTCATCCCACAAACAGCCAGTCGGCATGTTGGCATCTCCGGGTGTAAGTGATCCCAACAAGGTCATAACATAATATAATATAATGTATTATAATAATCATAATAATAATAATAGTAATAATATTAATAACAATAACAATAACAATAAGAATAACAATAACAGTAATTATAATAATAATGATAACAATAAGCTTATCAACACACCCACCCCATTCCAACCCAAGCTGATGCTCAAGAACCTTGCCTCACCCATGATGTGGATGTTCACTTTGGCCAACGAGTTTCGGAACCCAGGCCTCGGGCGCGGTAATTACTGACTCCCTCCCAAGAAGAGTTTCTGCAGGAAGGCAATTTTCTATATCATATCCGCAATACCAAACGCTGTCCAATCAGGCTGCATTACTGACCGAATGCTTTGGGTCATGCAACTCCGGCGGTCAGAACAGCGGATTTAGGATCTGAAGAGAATCTTAGATGCTATCGCATCGCGTCTAGCTGCTTGCCAAAAGCAATACATCCCCTGTGGTCGCAGCGCAGTGCGACACGTGCCTCGATCTGCATCGCATAAGGGATACTGCGATGGCTCTGCAAACGCCATGGTGCAGACGCATCGTTGCGTGTCCACGTTTGAGTTGCCAGGAGTGTTGGGCCGAGGACCGGAAATTCGATACAGGTGGTGATGGAGCTTGTCTTTGAAAAACTCACGCAGTCTGAACTCGCCGTTCTCAGCTCCGGCCGGTTCTCTGGCGCCAGGACGACCTCCCACAGGCTCAGGTTCGTGCTCCCTGTCTGCCCATCGACTTGGATGGCGGTGGTGAGCTCCGCATCGTCTTTTTCGTCCTCAGTGTCACAACAAAACCCCAACACCTGATGGCTACAGGTATAATCAGCTCACACGTGTCATGCCACTGCAGACCCGCTGCAAAGATTGCTGCCATGGCTTGCACGTCCCCTTCACAGAGTGCCCGGTAAAACTCCTCTTGGGCTTCCAGCGCGCCGGTCGCGTCGGCCATGGCATAGCGCTCCTCCAAGGAGCTGAGGCGCTTCATCGGCGGCATGGCGGCCAGCACCTCGTCCCAGATGGGACAGCCGAAGTCACTTCCAAAAACCCGGCCACGGAAGTTCAGCCCGACCCACAGGCAGTCTCCAGCGCTGTTCCTGTCTTCAGCCAGGGCCTCGAAGTAGCTCCTACCATCAAAAAGAGTCAGCTACCGCTACTTTGCGGGCTTGGGGTCTCTGTTGCTGACGCCGGGTACACTCCGTTTGATTGCTTCGGGACCTTCTACGAACCACAGCCACAGCTACAAGTACAGCAATGGCGACACAGCAACAAACACCACCCCTCCTCCAGCGTCGTAGCTGCTTTGCCTTTGCCAGCCATGGCCCAGCCTGTCCAAGGATTTCAAGATATTTCAAGGCTGCTTCGTGGCTCCCTTGACGTGACTGTGCCAGGCGAGTTCACTGCGGGTCCCCACTTCGCCTGCCGCAGCAAAGCCTCGGAGCCGAAAGCCGCAAAAGCCACCTGCACATGCTCTGTGGGACTTCAGGGGTGGTGCACGCTTCTTGGTGGCAAAGGCTGGTTCGACCAGGAGGCACCAACGCATCGGACATCGGGATGCTGGGATGGAGGTTCTTGCCGAATGCGCTTGCATTCACGGTGGTGCTTCAACTTCACACACGCAAGGCTCTTCTAAGATTCTATGCAGAGTTCGGACGGAGGACTCTGTGCAATCTCAAACCTCAACATTGAGGTGGTGGTGAAGTTGAAATGAGGTGGCTGAAATGGCAAAGGGACATGGCTCGGGGAAGCTGAGGCATCTAAGCCTCTCTGACCTGTAAGTTCCAGATTTTTGAAACTTTCTGCTTGTTCGTGTGGTGATTTCCAAGCTCGATGGCAGGAAGTGCATATTCGAGCCAGCTTTCTGCATGGAGGATTCAGCCAATGAAGCCTCTCGAAAATAAGCAGATTGCGAAGGGAGAGGATGGGTATTGCACGGTTTGTCTAATTTTGTGCATTATGCTATTCATGCATTAATCTGCATGAAACATGTAGCTTGTAGATCCGGGCTATCTCGATGCCCGCTGCCTTGTCCGAGTCCTCCAAGGTCGCGGACACAGCGAGGACCAGAACGCGGCTCTGCTCGAAACGCCTCTACATCGCGCCAATAGGTTCAGTGCTTTGCGGAAACTGCTGCTAGCCCAGGTCACAGAAACACTACCTTTGAATGAAGGGGGGGAAGGGGCGTCTGCTTATCCACCTCGAATGGACCCGCTCTTATGTCAGGCGCTGCAAGCAGGCCTCCTGTAGGGCAGCGCCGCTCTCAGTGCTTCCACAAGCTGGTCGAAACTCCCGAAGAGGGCCACCAGCCGGTACTGGTCCCTGAGAGCCTGCTGTCGTCGATGCTGTCTGCGCGGGCTTGAAGGAGAATGAAAGTGTGGGCTTCAAGTTCAAGATGCTTCAAGGCTGGAAGGGCTACTGGCTGCACGTGCCTGGAGCTCCTTGCTCTCCGACCTACCGGAAACAGGATCTGACAGCTCCACGGAGAGGTCCCCAATGGAATACTCGCGCTCCAGTCGCACCAACTGCGCGGTTCGCTTGCCTCGTTCGCGGAGGAACAGGAACCCGGATGCCAGTGTTACCGTTGCGGCTGCCACAAAGAACGGTGGCCCAGCGTTCGATGGGAAGAAGGTCGGTGAGAACAAGCCGCATATGGTCAGGAACAGGAAAATCAGGATACGCAAGGGTTCCGACTGGTTTGTGTTCGAATACTGAAGTAAGGCTTCACGACGAAAGTCTTGCAAAGAGAGCGGATCAAATTCTGGCCGCCGCAAGAACTTCTGCTTGTTAAAGTTTTTGTCGCTGTCCCCTGCTGCCTTTAACCCGACCGATCTCGTAGCACACGGGCTCAAAGCTCCAAGGACAAAGCCTCTCACTTGAAAGGTCATGCCGCAAAGGGCCAGAATTCCGAGCCATCGAGTCCGACGGTATCGGGGCCCTCCTGGCCGAAGCATTGCGAGCGCAGCCACTTTGGCACGAGCTGTCATCAAAGTCTATCTTAAATGATGCGCTGATCTGGAACTTCGTTTGGCTCTGCTGTCACTCTGCATTGTAGTAGATGCCTCTTGCTTGCTGCTGCGGCTAACACCAGATCACTGCACGGCTGCGCATGGCTCCCAACAACTATAGCAGATGGCATTTCTATGCTTTTAAGACACGCCCATGGACGAACTCTTGCGTTAGGTTTCGCAAGCTTGAGACTCAGGCTAAGCATACTGCGCATCAACTATGAATCGGAGGGACGCATTGGTTGTTTATGGCGGCCTGGTTATCTTTCTGCATGATTCTGCATGTGATGGTTTATTGCACCGGTTCATGCTGCATGCATGTAGTACGTAATAACAACACTTGCAAACACACAGACAGCATCTTTAAACGTGAGCATGTTTACAGATGCTGCATATACTCATTTACAAAAATGCTTACTGCCAAAAACATTTGTCTGCATGCACGCACGCAGTGCATGGATGTATGCATATATGCATGAAGTACACATGTGGACAAGATCAGATTATATGTGAGTGATGATGCTGATGATATCGTGGCGACCAGGGACATAATGCTGCGATGGTTATGACAACCAAACCACCGGCAGTCATTCTGCAATCTACGTAATTAGACGAAGTAGAGTCTAAGTAGAGGCTATGTGTGCATTCCGCAGGTTGACGACACTGCAGTGCCCATTCTCTTGGATCACGGCAAGAAGATGATGATGTCGTTGTCCTGGACCCGCACAAGCATGCGCATGACCGGTACAACGACATGCACAGCTGTGGAGATTAGGCGTGTCTTACAGGCTTGTATTTCCGCCAAAGAAAAGTCACACGTTGGCAGCTGTTGTCAGAACCTCTGATTTTGCGTGGATTTTCCTGCCAGCAGTTTCACACCGGCATCCCTTAGTGACGGGGGTGGAGGACTACAGTAAATCTACATTACGTGCAAGGAGAAGCAACGGGAGAGGGAGAGGAGGCACGCAGACCATGTGCCGCCACTGGCTTGCAAGGGGATGCGGGCGTGGAAGTTCGGGGTGGACCTTCGCAGGGAGCCCCACCTCGGTGATGTTCACCGTAGGCTGCAGGATCATCTTCAGCTGAAAGATGCTGTCTTGCTGCGGCGGCCTTGAGAGGGCCAGTTTCGAGGGTGTTGATGTCGCGTGCTGGGAGCCGCACGCATAGATGAACTCCGACACCATGAACGATCCTCGAGAGACAAGCGTGCACCAAGCAGACCGCGGTAGCGAGCACTTGGACCGTGCAACTCTGCAGCCGTGTCGCGATCGACTACTCGAGGAGACGTCTTGATGGGCTCCTGGAGAGGGCGGAGCTGAAGGAAAGAAAGCACCCAAAGCTTTCGCGCACCTCGAAGATCACCACATTCCTTAGGGTAGCGCAAGGAACGTGTGCTAGTCGTCACGACCACGCGGGAGAGGCCCCGGCCCAATTGCTTGAATGGTGAGGGATGGGTCGTTCGGCAGAAGTGGCGTCGCCGGCAGTCGGAAACCACTGGACTCCATGATCCGCAAGACCTCATGCCGTCATGAAAACATCGACGATTTTTGCATCCGCCCTTTCCAGATCATTCGAGCTTCACCGAGACTCGTATGACCATGAGCGCAGAGGGATTGGACAGGCGGGGACCGGGCCGTTGGCTGCTGGCGATAGATCTGCTGTCCGATGGGCACCTGCCAAGGCCGCAAGAAAGTCCAGGTTTCAGGATCACAGGACGATGATAGTTGAGCGGCCACGAGGTCGAAGGTCTCTGCCATCTGATCCCAAAGGCCAGTGCGGATGAAGTCACCTACGACACGCCGAGCGAGAGGCGAGGACAGCGAAGTGGCCGCGAGACTCGCAGTTGGGAGCCAGGCTCAGGTCGTAAGCGTTGGACACGGGCACCTCCTGTGTTCCAATCGGGACCTGTGCGGGAGAACGAGCCGGTAGTCAGCACCCAGAACCAGCCCAGTGCCCCACATCCGTAAAGGGGCAGGTGAAGCCAGGAAGCCTGACCAGCAGAGGCTGGTGTTCTTCTCCCTCGCACAGACTGTGAGGTTCTGGGGTGCAAACTTCAATCGCACCGTGGTCCCAGCAGGAAGGTTGACCTAGGCTAGGGCACAGGCACAGCTGGGGCGGCAGAGCTACCAGACAACTCTCTGAGCACAGCACATTTGGCCGGAACCTGCCACATCCCCGGAGCAGACATGCCCAAAGCAATGCTGTTGCAATGCCGGTTCGACCAGAAGTTGAATTCCACCACGGTGTTTGGGTATGCCACCGCTCCTGCATGTCATACACCCTCATTATAAGACACGGCTCAATGGCTCTGGCCACCAAGGATGCGACCTCGAGATCCGTAGTAGATCTCTGACACGATCTTAGCAACACACGGCGAAGATCTCCGAAGGCCTTTCTTCCCCGATGCCCCTGAGCACGCCACGAAAAGCTTGCCTTCTTGGCTCACCCGTGTGGAGAATTGAAATGGCCGCTCCGGAATGCCAGCCTGGTGTGTGTCAGCACTTGCCGGACATGGCGCATGCATCGAAGCACTTCTCTGGCACCTCTGGCACTGCCAATCGAAAAGACGGATCGCTCTGGTATGCCGAGTACGGCCTCATGACTGCCCCACATCCAAGAGCAGATCCAGCTTGTGACGTTCTTGACATGTCAACAGCCGTGTTCCGGGCAGCTTGAAGTCCTGATCGCGCTCGATAAAGAAGCGAACACGCTCCTCGGCTCCACGGGATTGCGCCAGCCAAGACTTCAACTCGACCCCTGAATCTCTGGGCACTGAACACCCGCAAAGATCTGTACTGTGGAGACCATCTGCACCGTCAACAGGACCTGGTCCTGGTCCCAGTACCCTTCCTGCATCGAGGCTCGAGGTTTTGCGTGAAAGCGAGCAACACTGGCAACAGACTGCTACAAATGAGGTGTGAAAGACAATATACTGAAAGAGGCTACTGGTGTTGTTGGCTCTTGATTTCCTATCAGTTTTTGAAATCAACTATTTTTTGACATCAACCTATGCCTGTTCCTGTTCGTTTCTTTATGACAACTTACATTAGATACATCTACATATATATATATACATACATATACATGTACATATACATATACATGTGCATGTGCATATACATGTACATGCACGTGTACATATAAATATGTGGGTATATATGTACATATGCATATACATATACATATACATATACATATACATATACATACATGCATACATACATACATATACATACATGCATGCATACATACATACTTGCCTACATACACATGTGCATAAGCATATGCATATGCTTAAACATACACATACAAATACACATGTGTATATGTGCTCCTGTATTGCATGATATGTGTACGCTTGCGATAACCCACTCAACATATAGCACTGCAGCGACTTGGCAGCGTGCCTCGTTTCGGAAAAGTGGCCCGTTAGCTCCGGAGATCTTCACCGTGCCGGAGCGCGCGGCTCCCTGAACACCTGGGCAGTCCATCTATGAGTTTTGAAGCTTTTGTGTTTAGGGTTGGATTTCGCGCCATCCAGCTATCGATGCTATCTCTAGGAAGATGTTGCTGGATACAAGCAAACAGGAAGCGCGGTGAGAAGTGTAGTCATGACAAGGACAGCATATGATGTGTGTACAGATACACAGAAACGCACACGCATAAATTTGACTATCTATCTACATGCTTGCTTGCTTCCTTCCTTCCTTCCTTCCGTCCTTCCTTCCTTCCGTGCGTGGGTGCATGCGTGCGTGCGTGCTTTCGTGCTTGCTTGCCTGCTTGCCTGCTTGTTTGCTTTCTTGCTTGTTTAAACTTGCTTCGGTACTTTATCTGTACATACATACCTGCCTGCCTGCCTGCCTCCCTACCTACATAAATACATACTGCACAATACATACATACCGACCTACATACATACATACATACATACATCATACATACATACATAAGTTACACACGCGAAATATTAGATGCAGTACATACCTAGCGCGTGGTCGACAACCCATCTCCACTGCCACCCACTCCCCATCCATCCCATGCTCCTGCAGTTGTTCGCATTTTGGTGGGTGTTTAGCGGCAGTCTCCACATGACTTTCAGCGTTGATTCGTAGTCAACACCATTCCCGATGCTTCTGGGACCTCGACTACATGAAGAGTGGATGTTCTGCAAGGGAAGATCACCGTCGGTGCTAACTTCAGGCACGCTCCCACTTAGAATCCACTGGGAGTCCTGCCGATCAAGTTCGTTCGCCCAGGATCTCGTACAAGCCCACCAAGCTTGATGTACATCGTCCTTAGCGTATGCTACTCTTGCTGCCACCTCCGCAGCTCAGGCACAACCAAGACCTCAACCGGAACATCCCTGGCCGAGCCCGGCACGAATTCGGGAGGACGTCCGTATTCAACACTAGCGAGAAGCTGATTCTCGTGAAAGCATTGATTGACCTAAACCAACAACGTTCGTTGCATGGGGTACTGCGACCAGAGAAAACATAAGAGGGACCACGGGCCCCTGCGAGTCCTCCGGCTCAAACTCGACGATGGATTCGATGACGAACTTATCCGTTCCGACTTTCGGGATCTTTTTGATGGGCCTTGGAAAGGCCACGTCCGAAGTGAAAAGGCAGCCAAGCGCCAACAGCTTCCCAGCTCCGTGCTCGAGGTCTATCAACGCACCCTTGCCTCGGCCATAACCGCAGCCATAAAAAAACACCAAATTCTGTGATTCAAGAATGAAAAGGGCCCTTGGGCCTTCGATACGCAGGATGCCGTCATTCTCACTGAGCCTCGCTGCAGAAGACTGGGAAAGGCCAAAGACTTACACCGACTACACCCAAACTCAGAATCAAGCATGACACTCCTCAACTGCTGGTGGGCATTCTGAAATCTGAGAAGGCTGCTTGTCCGGCAGGCGGAAAACGCTGTCCCGGCCGATGGACACCCGGAAGGGCATGGCCTTGCAGACCGCAGTTACAAACCACAGGCATCGTGAATGCTTGTGCTTCTAAACCAGTCCACTGGACCTCGCTGCAAATTGCAACTTGAGCTCCAGACGTTGCTGATAATCTCATTTTCCGCCACAGTGAACACCAGCATACTGTCCTCCGATCGGCGCTAGACCGCTAGACTAGAGGTGTCCTGGCAGCCTCAAACGGTTTCTCCAGGCTCCTCCTGAGTCCACGAGGCCGCCTGGTTCTCAATTCGAAAAGCATCGGCGCCTCCAAAAGAAGACTCCAAAGGACGTAAACGCTGCCGATCTTGACTTCGGCTTCGAGCCGTGAGCCCGAGCTGGGCAGCGCACCCAGGAGCGGGATCGAGGTCAAGGTGCACCTGCAAGCTCTCTCTTGTAGGTAGATTTTCAGAGAGGTAGCTCGGGTCTCTCAGCTCCAGGCGCAAATCCGTACATGTGAATGACGATGCGGTCCTGAGACGGCGAGACGCGGAGAACTGCGGGCAAAGCCGAAGCTCTGTCGGACTCAGTCGTAAGGAGCCGACACCTTGGTAGAAGACGATGGTCGGCTCCAGGGTGAAGCTGACGTTTGCAGCCAACCTGCAAGGAGCCCGGTCACCCTCCGCAGAAGTCTTGCGACAATTCCGTGGTCCCATGGTCGACCGTGAGGCACGGGAAGGCACAGGGCCTGGGCTCTGCCGGGTCGAAGGCCAGCTGGGATCGCCTGAAGGTCTTGTCACCCATACCGACCTCGGTCGAAGAATCGCATAGAACCACCCTGTAAAGCCGATGCGGGTCCCCCCCACGTCGAAGTCGAAGCCGAGGCCAGGACCATTGGAGAGTCGTCCACAGGCTGCCGCGGAGCCCTGCCAGGAAAAAATCGTAATGTGATGCTTGTGGGCATCACTGCTTTCATGCCGTCTGCGAAGTTGCCTGGGATTACTACTGTGACTGACAAGATGCGAGGAAGCCACACGACCGTCTGAGCGTGCAATCTGAGGATAACACCCTGGATCTGAATTCCAGACAAGCAGAGAAGTGTCGTTCGCCTTGCTGCGTCAGGTACGAAGATGGATGACACGATGCGACACAATGCGAGCGAATTGCATCGCCCCTTCTGCTCAGCTCATGACGTAGAGGGCTGGCGGGAGAATCAGTTCCTGGGCAGATTTTGGTAGGCAGGCCAGCTTGCTTTGTTGGCTTGCTAGGAATGGAGCCTCAGACGGGCACTTCTGCGTCCAGACTGAGGCCGCTGCTGTGAGCTCGACCTGCACCAGATACCTGGGTACTGAATTAGGGCCTGAGGATCTACGGCCCAGAGATATTGCCGTTGCAGAAGCCTCTCCTGCGGAGACGTACGCGTCACTTCGAGCTCCCGGCTCATCCGAGTACAGGGTCCTGATGACATGGAGCTCGATTTCGTTCTCCTGGCACGGCGACGCTCCACAAGGCTGTGCCCGAAACAAACAAGCAATCCCGCAAGCAGACGAGGTGAATCGAAGCGAGCCAGGACACCGGGATGTTGAAAACTGCACTCTCGTCCCTGAAGTTCGCCTGCCGCTCCGTAACTCCACGAGATCGGCAGTCATCTGCGCTTCGGCTGTGAGTTGCAGAGGGCTGCTGCGAGTAAGAAGTAGCAGCAGCACATGACAGGGGCTCGTAGATTACCACGGATGCTCGTACATGGCTTTGCATACAAGGTCTCAACCCACCTCACACAAGTAAGGTCATCATGATCGGCAATGGCTAGTCAGGCCTTTGTGGTCCCTTTCAGGGGCACCTGCACGCGCTGTGAGGTGAAGCCCGAGAGGCCTCGGTTTTGGCAGAGGCGTCCGGCACGTCCCCGAATCGAAGAACTTATAGAGTTAGAGTTAGAAGACGACCCCTAACTGCTTGGGTCTCGGCGCAGATAAACAACTGATCCAGCCTCGGCGAAACGACGCGGAGGCAAGGCAAAGACTCTGCAAGCGTCGAATCGCAGCAGCCCCTTGTTGCCGCTGAGCCCTCTGCGAAGAGAGGCCTGTTGGTAGAGAAGTGGAACATGACGCTGCTCATTTGGTTGGGCATGCCGTTGCTGTACATGAGCCTCACAGGGCAAAGCGAGCAATTGGCAGAAGGAAGCATCGCATTGGGCCACTGGCCGGCTGAAGGTGAAGTTGCGCACGTGGGGCACCGCGCTTGATTGCGTGACCTCCCGACTCCCCTGTGCTCCGTGGATCTCCGTGGATTCAGAGGCAGCCCGAGCTTCAGGCAGGGGTCTCCCGTACTACCTCATCGATGTTATCGAAGGATCTCGCGGAGACCTGTCAAAGAGGAGCCGAGAACAAAAGCAATGGACCCCTTCAAGAAATCGTCCGCTGGTGCACAGCACGTGGCCGCCTCGAGAGTGGGACTGTCAGCTTCGAGCTCGATTGGAAGCCGAAACCTGCAGAACTGCAAGCGTCCTACAGAAGTAACTTTGCATGCAAATCCGATATGGCTGGGGTGCAACTATGCGTACAAGGCAGAATCAGAGAGAGTGCAGGTTTCAACACTGGCCCCTAATTCAGATGTAGGCATCCTGCTCATCGGGCTCTGTTGACAATGTGACCTGACGGTCGAGCACCTGAGGCACTGAGAGTGAGGTCAGGGCAGCACAGACTTCAAAAGAGCAATCAGGGGCCCAGGCCCTGCCCTCTCTGACGAAGAAGGTCAGCTTCCCCTCCATCGCGTCCCACAGCGCCCTGCTTTCGAAGAACATCCAATCCTGCACAAAAATGGAAGGCAATGGCGGACATGAGCACCTGAAGCTGTCAATCTGGGGCCCGGTCGGCCCCATCCAGGCTGTTTGCTGTGTTGAAATTTACCTCGCCGCTCCTCAAAGTCCGCTCTTTGCGTCACTTCGGTGACAGAGGTCCGGTCGAACGGTTGAACAAGCATATTATAGCTGACACAGCTGGATAACTTGGCCCATCGCACATTGTTCTCTCGCTGCACCAGGGGCATAGACAGAATGATGCGAGCACCTTGCTGGACAGGAAATGGCATCTGCATTTTCACTTTGCCGAAATGGTTGCCCAGTGATACTGTGCCTGCAGCCGGTTCCTCTAGTAGGAAGAGGGGCTTCACGAACCGGCATGAAGGGGACTGTAGTCCACGAGCAATGTTCAGACCCCGGTGTGTGCGAGTGGCAGAACCACCCTAAGTGCAACCCACCCTGGTCAGTGAGTGAGTGAGTGAGTGAGTGAGTGAGTGAAGATGCAGCCTAGTAGGTCGTGAGGCTATAGTGGCCAGGGCCCACGGTACAATGCTGACAAGCTTTGTTTCAGACTGACTGGCCTGTCGGAAGGTACGTCCAAGTGCGACGCAAGGAAGGCACGAGCCACACTAATGTGGAGACAGGAGCCCTATTTCATGCAGGGTCGGGTGCCGTCATGGCTAGACTGGCCTGCGAACATCCCCCTGTGATCCGGCATCTAAGCCTCTAAGCACGAGGCGATCGGTCAGCGGGTTGGCAGGCCGAATGGTGAGGTGAATGATGGTGAGGGAAGAGGACACCTGCGAAGGGCAAGCTTTCGCCTGCTAATCACAGCTGCCCCCAGCCACACGAAGCAGCTGAGGGTGAGGCTGGCGGAGCAAATGCAACCTGAAGACACGCAAAGCATCATAAAGTCAGCTGGCGAAGATAACTTCGCACCGAAATGGGTGTAAGCAACTGGCACGGAGGAAGTCCCACTGAAGGCCAGGATCGATTTCCGGCGAGTTCAGGATCGGCTCCTCGTGTCTCCCAGACTCGACTTGTGACTTGCTGTCTATCGCCGGAAGGATGTCCTCGTTGATAGAAGTCAGTGTATCTAAGGACGTCGGGCCCGAGATCGTATAGCCCTGGCCAAGCACCCAAGAGGCTTCAGCAAGAAGTGCGGAGAGATGGTCCCTTGAAGTGTCTAGGGCCGGGGCGGAAAAATCCTGCGGAGAGGATGTGGGAAGCCTCATGCCTGTGACAAGACTTTTCGGATGTGCTGCTTGAAGGCATCGCACGCCCAGATTCTGAGCTGACGGCAGCAAATCGTCACCTCAGTGTCGGTGCCGGCCAGCAACGATTGCCCAGTCCGCACCTCACTACACAAAAAGCTATAACCACAAACATGGACTTCCACTGCTCGATTTTTCGCGAAGCTCGGCACACCGCTGTTAGTCTCAGGAGCCGAGAGGCGAGATTGTACCTGGCGACGCATGATGCCTTTGAAATCTCACCGCATCATCCTGCCTTTGTTGAAGTGAACCATTGCAGCTGCATAACACTCGTTGACCATGCCAGATGCACAGCGCGGGGGTGGTAAAGAGTGGATTCTGTTGCGTGTTGTAGCCTGGCAAGAGCCGAATTGCAACGTGCAGCTGTCCCAGCGAGCCCAAACTTATCGACTCACTCCACTTAGGCTCTCGCCAAATAGCGGATCCACTCCCAAAGGTACCTTGCATAGAGGTTCACAAGCACCCGAGCTGGGTGCCAGCTGGTTCCACATGTCAACGATGAAGACGACCACTTCGATTTCAGAGATCACACATGCTTTTTCACCCAGGCCACTGTGTTGCCAGCAGTGATCTCCAGGTCTCGAATCAGGGCGTTCCTTGCCAGCACAAGCAAGATCAAGCGACCAAGATTCTCTGAGGATGTTGGCTTCCCCCAGCCAAGGATGCAACGCAGTGTTCTGCGTTCCGACGGCTTCGAAGCCAACAAGGTTGAAATCGATGTACCTCAGGTCAGGTGGAGAGCGGAGCGGCTTTCCGTGATGCCATGGCCGCAAGTTCACCCCCGGACGAGGCCGCAACTGCGTCCGCTGGATGCTGCTCGGCAGATCTCTGGACTGGGCGTCGGAGGGAGCCATGAAAAAAAGACTTCTTCGGGTCAGTCGAGGCCCTTGCAGGTTGCAGTATAATGGTGATGTTGGCAAGGCTCCTGGCAACATCGTCCCTGAGTCTGCCCTGGAAGAAACCGGACAAGACCACTGTAACAAGCGCAGTCAAGATGCCCTGGATAAAGCGGGTTGTAGGCCAGTGTCGACACCACGAAGGTCTCGGCAGCTTGACATCAGGCTACAAAAACAAACATCTGAAACTTCCAGAACACCGAGAGAGCAGGGAAGCATCCGGGGAACACTGGCTGAGCGGGTGGCTGCTGGGCACAGCTCTTCGCGGTCCTCTGCTGAGAAGTCCTCTGATGTACAGACCTCCCGGACACAACTAAGAGTCTGCTCACTGACTCGGCTCCGAATAAGGCGATGGCATCTACCCAGGGAGTGACGACATCGGTCTGCGCAGCACTGAGGCTGAAGAGCACCTTTCAGAAGCTACGGCTCCTGCATGCTACTTTGACCTTCTTCGCAATTGTTTCTGTCCCTCAAAGGTTTGGGGAACTTGGGGAACTGGAGTAGGTCCAAACATGCGGCTACTCCACCCGAATCCCGCCAGCTGCATGACACAACAACACAACTCCACATCGTGACACCGAGGCACCGCCACGATGAGGGCATTCCGCAGCCCGGAGAATGCCAGCATCTCGGATTTCTGCCGTTCCAAATTCAGCAGGCTAACTTTCACTGGCGGGCCGCCAAGGTCCCGACAGCTGTCAAGCCCACCAACCTGGCATATGACATAGAAATGCCTATGTACATATACACATGACAATGCATAGACCTCGGCATGTTTGCGTATACCTATATATATATATATATGTGTGTGTGTGTGTGTGTATGTGTGTGTACATATGCACACATATACAATAGACACACACATATATACATGTACGAAGTTAATGAATATGTCTGTGTGTGTGGGTGTGTAGGATATTATTTGTGCTGCAGCTGTCGCTCTTCATGCCGGCTGGATGACGATGATGATGAATCGTCTTCTAACTGCTTGTGGAAAACTGTCATCCGTTGAAATGCTGTGCATGTACGCGTACATGTGATGATGTGTAGTATTCGGTATGCCTGAGGTCCTACAAATTATCATTACATGTAGCAAATTGAATACCTGTAAAGAATACTCGTATATTGTATGTTGCATTTGTCTGTAAAGAAACTAGATTATGTACGTATTCTTCTTGTTCCTCAACCCCCCCCCCCCCCCCAACTAGAATTAATTCCGCAGATGTGTGTGGGTGTGTCGAGACTGCCTAGTGACGCCAAGTGCAGCAACAGCAGACTGTGGTTGCATTTGGCTAGACATTGCCGATGTCAAACTTCCTGTATCAGGTTGCCCGATACCTTTGTAGCATGCATTCCACCTTGTCCGTGCATGCATGCATGCCTGCATGCANNATCCAACCCTCCATCCATCCATCCATCCGTCCGTCCGTCCATCCCGTCGTCCGTCCGTTCGTCCATCCGTCCATGAGTCCGTCCATGCATGCAGTCATGCCTGTTAACCTTCTCACACTGTAGGTCAGTGTATATGCATCTATGTACTATTGCGTGTGTCTGTGTTGAGGATGTTTTGTCTGTCTAGAGGTGTATACAGGTATATACGCGTAGACAACCATGCTGATGCATATGATTTTGCAAAGGATATGAGTGTGGCATGTCTCCAAACACTGTGCCAACATGAAGGGGGGGGTTAAGCAAGGCCTAAAGTCTTTGGAAGGAGGTCCTCCAAGGTAACCCAGACAGCCCAGCGGACGGAGTTCCGGCCACTCGTGCTGTGGCCAGCGGTGCAAAAAGACCCTCGCTGTGGATTCGTGGTGTGCTCTGGGATCTCGTTTCTGTTCAATGCATCTACTCACAGACAGACAAGTAGATGCATCGAAAGATAGATGTACAGACAGACATACAGGCAGATAGACCGAACCATAAACAGATCCTAGATATAATTGGGTAGATAGGCAAGCACAGACGGACGGACGGAGAGACAGACGGACAGAAAGTCTGGACAGCGAGGTAGACAGATAGATTGACAAATAAGATAGATAGATAATACACAAATACCAGGGACAGGCGGATGCGGCGTATACATGGGAAGATAGATTACAGACAGCGAGACTGAAAGAAAGGTAGATGACGGTTTTGAAGTATAGATCATAGCTGAATGGTAGACGAGTCACGAATCCCAAACAGGATCCCCCGCAGTCCTGGACACTTCTGGTCTGCTGCAAGGGTTTCTTGGTGGGTCTGCGCCGCCCCCCTGCAGACAAGCTCTGACTCTGATGCAAGAGTGTTTGCGTACTTCGGCCAACTCGTCCGCCTTCTGCAAGAGTCGGGACATGAAGTTGAAGTTAACTGCAAAAAGCCAAGCCTTCGAGGCCAGGAAATCGCCTTTACCTCTTCGAGGAAGCCGACGTACTCGGTAGCCTGGTGGGGTCAAGGAATCTGCCCCGCTGATGGCTCCAACATGTGCAGAGCACCGGTTTCGGGAAGCCAGAGGAAACGAGACAGCTGCGCACGACTAACGCACGGCTCGGGCTTTGCCCAGGAACTGTCAACGATGAGGGAGCGAAGCTCGGCGAAGGAAGTCCGAACACTGGACAAGGAAATCTTGAAAAGCTTGGACATCCTGCCGTAAAATGCCGCAAAGCCGATTGAAACGGTGGAGTTAGAGATCGCTGAGGAAGCGAGTAGTCGACATTTGGGCTGCGACTTCTCCAGAGATGTTTTGCCCCAGCTGCTGCTCGAAAACTTTCTGGATGCTGGGGTTTGTCTGGACACGGACCGGAGGGCTTGCCGCGTTGATAATCTGCTCGAGAATCACATCTGCGACCTCATCAGGCGTCTGTCCAACACTTGCGGACTTGCCATATGCCCCCATGGTCGACTGCAGTGGCTTCTGGTACTCTGCTGGCATAACACTGGTATCTGGCATTTGTGCGTTGGCCCAGAAAGCAGACTTGATCGCCCCGGGTTCCACGCAGGAGACATGTACACCGAAAGTACGAAACAGTGGTGCCTGGCTTTCTGTCAGGCCTTCGAGAGCAAACTTCGACGCACAGTAGATGTCGTTGAAAGGCTGACCCCAAATACCCCCGACTGACGAGATGTTGATGATCTTGCCCGACTTCTGCTGGCGCATAAAGGGAAGCACTGCTTTCTGACATCTGATAACGCCATAAAGGTTTGTCTCCATTTGAGCCTTCATTGCCTCCATGGCCAGCATCTCGACACTGCCTGCCTGGCTGTAACCAGCATTGTTCACCAGCACGTCGACACGACCCGCTTCCTTCAATGCAGGGACAAGCCCGTTGTCCACGGAAGCGTCCGTGTTTACGTCCACTTCGATTGCACGGATGTTGCCCGAAACCTCGGCCTTCGTCGCGGCCTCGAGCAAGGAATCCTTCTTTGCCAAGCTGCGCATGCCTGCAAAGACCAAGTGGTTCCGTGCCAGCTTCACACTCAGCGCCATCCCCAAGCCAGAGTTCGCGCCAGTAACAACAGCCACCGGAAGAGCCATGAATGGAACGATCAGGGGTTTATGATGGACTTGACCGGTAAGGCAAGGCTACGATTGCTCGACAGGAATGGCTGGGCGAAATCCTGATCCAACAGATGGGACAACATTATGAGCTTGTGGCGAGGGCCATCATCAGCAATCGTAGGTGACCAAATGCCCAACTTTCCTTTGACCCGTCGGACCCCTTGTCTCATGCTACCCGGATTCATAAACAGCCTACCTGAAGATCCGGAGTCCCTGCCTCTGGGCCATGGTAGCGGCCCACCCCACTGCCCGAGGCGCAGCGTTGCTTGAACCGCAGAGTCGTGATGCTCTGAGATGTGCCGTGCGTTGGGGACTTGGCGAGGAATCACATTGCGGTGTCTCTCTGGTTTTGCTTGGTTTGGAGCTTGTGGTCTACGTCTCAGCAACTTAGGCTCCTCCTCCATGCAGCTTGGATTTTGCATGTCTTGGACGACAGGCATGCGACGTGGTTTCCACGCCACATACCACCCTCTCCGGTAGTAGCGAAGCATGGCATGGCCTACTTTGATGCCCAGCCACGTTAGAGCACACTTTGGCACACGTGAAACGCATTTCATTAACCGCAAAGTCTGGCACTTTCCGACATTGTCCAGGCTGCAGCAGTCATTCATGGTCATGGCCATTACTGTTCATGTGTCAGAAATAACCAGGCCTAATCATCTCAGCTTCCCTGTCACCATGAGAGTCTGCTACCTTTGTCGGGCTTGTTACTTGCTCTAGTCTAGAGCAGGCTTCAATCGCAAAATTTGGTCAACAGCGTGCTGTCTGCAGTGCTATGCCGTGCTTGCCTGGTGTTCGTCTGCCGGGCCAGCAAGCTTGCAGGCTTGATCCTGCAATGCGTGGCCCGCCCACATTGGCGCACATGTCGCGCATCTCATCTGGTGTGTGTGTGTGAGTGTGTCATAGGGGGCCCGGCATCGGTGCTGCATGGTCAAAGGCGGCAAACTCCTGGCACTAAGGTGATGACCGTGCCATACCGTGCCCTTTCTGTTTCGAACCTGGAAGAAGGGCACCGGAGCCGCTGTCGCGAAGTCTAACCTCGCAAAGTCGGAGCGCAGAGCTATGAGAGCTATCAAAACCGTTAGAATTGAACTAACTTCTCAGCTCAGCTGCTCATCATCCCCCAAGTTGCAAGATCCAGCCTAGGCGAACAGAATTTCATCCGCACATGAAACAAAGTGTGTGTTGCACTCCTGCATCGCTCTCTCGAATATCCGCCTGACTTGAACCGCTGGTAAGCGAATTCCTTGTGATGGATTGTTCCCAGAGGCTTCTTGCTGCAGCAGCTATGTACAACTTGGACAGCAATCGCGCTCCAGAAAACAGATGTGTGCCGCCGCAGCGAACTAAGTTACATCAGTCCGGTTGCCACTATCTGCATCTGTCGGCGCCGTCTTTCTGACCGTTTCTGAGCTAGCCACACCTGCAAAGATGCATCTTAATCTTAAGATGTTTCAGGCTGGAATTGCCCCTGCAACCGACGTGGGCGCGGAGGCCATGTCGTCTTGACACAGCAGCTCGCGCTGCCTGAATTAGTGCAAGGAGCCTCTGCTGGAACAAGGACGCTAGAGAGCTTCACCCGAATTAAACCCGAGGCGCCTCAGGCGAACTGCCTCTGCCCAGTGCCAGGCCTGATCCCGCAAGGCACGGCCGCTGCTGCGTGGCGGCCGCGCGCCGGCCGAGCACTTTGGAGCTGAGCCTCTGGCAGAAGGGGCGAGTGAAAGCCGAGGCTAGGAGGCTCTTTTTCGCCCTTGGGAGACTCTGGCAACAAAAAACACTGAAGAATAAAAGCAAGAACTACGCACTACTGCCTGACTTCCTCTGCTAGCCCTGCCTTCAGTCGTTGCTGGGCAATCTCCTGCTGCAGAAACCTCTGCCGCAACCTCTCGCGGCAATGTTCGATTTGAAGCTGGAGAGTACGATTTTCTTTCACCGTCTCTTCCAGAATCCTGGCATGCGCAACGGCTGAATGCATGCAAGACGGCTCACATCTAGGCTGGAGTCCAGGAGTCTGGAGTCTGGAGGCGATAGAGGCGACGAGGGTCCGTGCAAGGCCGTGCGTTTCAAGTCAGGCCTTGCGGGCTCCGACCCTGCAGCCGTCTGCCGAAGGGAGCCTCCAGGGAAGCTCGGGATCCAGACTTAGGGACCCCCGAAGCTTGTCACATCATCCTAGTAAGGACCTGGGTAGTGGCACAATTCTGTTGCAGGCCTGTGGAAGTACGTCTATAGACCGTACCGCCTAAAAAGGCCCTTGAGAGGACTCGCAGGCCTGCAGTTGCGACAGCTGCATCGGGGCTGGATGGAGGTGCGAGTCGGGCTGTTCTGCTGGCACGTTCAAACCGTTCGATGTGCCTCCTCAGTCGATGTCGGCAGCACACTTCAATATACAACGTGACGACATGTATGACGGGGAGCCGGAGATGCACAAGATCGTTGCAAAAGCTGCCAAAGCGTCGACATGCTCTTGATGGCATGGCCAATGTCCAAGCCCAGTTCCTTGTCCGACGTTGCGGGCTGCGCTTGCTCACGGAGTGCCACCGTACCGGCTTGCTCTGCTAAGACCGACCCCAGCACCGGAGCACCGAGAGAATCCGCCTCCGCCTCCTTGCCGGTGCCATGGCCATGCCGGACATGCCCGTCGCGGATGCCATCGCTCTCCGCCCGGGCTTGCTCCGCTTCCTCCGCTTCCTCCGGTTCCTCCGCTTCCTGCGCTTCCGCTTCCGGCCCTTCCGGCAGCTCATCGAAGCTCCCGAGGTCGCTGTTGGCGTCCTCTGCGGCAGAGGCAGCGCCCCGGCCGGCGGTCCCCAGATGTCCCCCGTCCTCGTCGCCCGCAGCTAATTCGCCTTCGGGCTCGTCGAAGGCCTTAGGGCAGGACGGCAGGTGTAAAAGCCCTGGAGCCGGCGCTTGAAGGCCCCTGAGCCCTGAGCAGGCTGAGGAGGCTGGGGCAGCTGAGCCTCAGAAGCCTTGCCAGTGCTCATGGAGACCTGCAGATCACACTCTCCAGTGCACACTACGCGCAGACCTCACGGAGAAGCGTCTGAGCTCGGGTCTGGAGGGGATCCCTCACTGGGCGACTGCAATGCAGCCTCCGCGCCGACGAAAGATCTCTGACCACTTGTGACTTCCGACAAAGCCCCAACTTGACTCAAAATTCTGTACTCTGCTCATCATCACGACGACGTTTCCCCCAGTGCTCAGCTTAGCCTCTGGAGCTCTTCTAGGAGCACAGCCAGTAGACACAGGAAGGACCCGGAAAAAACAAGAGAACATGAGAAAGATTGAAGCAACCTGCCGGCGGTTGTCTTAGAGGTATTTCCTTGGGCCTCGATGCTCTTGTTGAGAACGCCACGCGCGGCACCCAGAGCGTCCTTCCCCACAGTCAACTCACGAAAGAGCACGCAACGAGGGGGAAGGGAAAGAGCTGCAACCCGAAACTATTTCAGAGAAGCTGTACGGTGGGTTTTCTCGGTGCACTGAGATGCACTGAGATCTCATTCCTGCCCTTACAAGACTCAAACGATCTGGAAATCTTGGAGGTTGTTTGCATGAGGTCTGCAGTGACCAAAGCGCAACCGGACGCTGTTCGTTCGGACGGAGATGAACGATGGGAACACTCGGGTCTCGATCTCGAATCCTGGTCCGAGTCCATCCGAGCCCTCGCGGTCCTGGGCCGCGCTGTCGGCAGCACTTCGAGCATCCAGGAGCCTTGCCTGGTTGGCTCGAAGTTCCGCAGTGGCTTGCACTGAGAGCTGTTGTAGGCCCCGAAACCCTGCTTCAACACGCGCATAGGTTCCAGGCGAACCCGGACTGTCAATCACTTGATACATCTAACGCCTACAGTACTCGCGCTGGCCTGGACAGCGTAAGCTGAGCATACTTGTTTGCGTGCGTGCGTGCTCGCTTGCTTGACTGACTGGCTGGCTGGCTGGCTGGCCGGCCGGCTGGTTGGCTGGCTGGCCGGGTAGTTGATTGATCGATCCATCGATCGATCGATGGATGGATTGCTTGATTGAGTGAACCGAGTACTCGGGTCGGGATGCACTCGGAAGGCGCACACATGCACGCCGTAAGAGCTACGGACCTTTTACCGCAGCACAAAGGCTGGAAGGCCTTTGGTCCAAAGGCGTCGGCACATGCATATGCGATCAAGTGAGATCAACAGTGACCGAGAGCAATGCTGACATGCAGGGAATGAGCGCCTGATATTTCACAGCGTAGCTGTCCTACGAGGAACCCTCCTATCCCCGAGCCGGAATTACCCTGCCCGTCGCCCTGGCCTCCAGTTTGCTCAGCTCCTTGTGGAGGCCAGCCGCACGTAGCTGCAACCCGTCCACGTCGTCCATGTCCGACCCCTGATAAGGTGCCTCCACATTGTATGCACGAAGCGACAAGCCTGATCTTTATCTTGTGCGGGCCTAACCGAACCCTGATTCCTGGCCTGCTCTTGCCAATAATCGCGGTGATGCTCCCGGCACTCCAGGCTCGACTGCTCGTGCTCTTGCGACAGTGTTGCATTCCGCTCCTTTGAGAAGTTTGCAGAATCTTCGACGTTATGTACGAGACTTTACTTACTTTAAGACGATGGATACCTGACGGGTGTGCTGTGCCAGGTGTCCTGAACACAGGAAAGGTCTGCCACCTGGTGGTCGCCGAGCTGGATCAAGGACTGGAAGGCACTCTCCAAGGTCTGCACCTCTCAGGGCAAGCCAGCACCATCAAACTCTGCGCGGATCCCCTTGAGCCCCGTTTCCTGACCCCTTCAGAACTTCAGCTCACCTCGAGCTTGAGACACTCGTTGAGTCGGCGCCGTTCAGTCCTGGGCGCACAAAGGGAGCCACCTACCTCCTCGAGTCTCTGCCCGTGCCCTAAATCTGAGCCTCTGACAGGGCGAGGCTCAGTCTCGAAGCCTCGACCCTCCAGGCGGCTGCCGTCCGCTGCACTGGGCTGCACAGCTCTGGCTCAGGCACTTCGCGTGAGCCGTACGCATCTCCTTCCGCGGCTTCTTTGCCGCACAGAGAACCGCTTTCCGCGACCTCGCTGGTCCCAGCGGTGTTCTGCCCTTCAACTCCTGCGGCTCTGCTCCCACTCTGCAGCTGCCTCTTTCTCAGGGTCGCGGACGCCGCTCGCACATGCGAGAGGCGTGCCAAGGAGGGCCCGGGATCGACCTTCTTCAAGGAATCCTTCAGCCGCAGCACCTGACCCCTCCTCTGCAAGCAAAGCGTCTGCAGAGCCTTGACCTGCAGCAGCGGTTTCACGTGCTCCGGACACCCGGCATCAGGCTTTGACGACTTCGCTGCGGAAGCTGTTTCTCGTGGGGCACTCTTCCAGCACAGCCAGCTCTTCAATCGCATTCCGTCATCTTGCAGAGGTGCAGATGCACTGTCCCGTGTTCACATGAAAGAATATTATGTCAATGTGAGCAAGGAGGTGAACAGGGTATCACTCAGGCTTCTGTAGAAGCATGCTTGCTTTACATGCCACCCTGTGCTGCAAGCTTTATGCTGCCCTGAATGCATTCCATGAACTTACGATTTGTACCGGTCGACTGCAATGAGAGCTCACCGAGGAGCGCCAGGTATAGTGACTTTATGTGGAGGAGATGCGACCCCAGAGATGACGTGGCGAACCGAAAAGCTTCGGAGCTCTGCAGCTCGCGCGACATGGAGACATCCCGGCTCTCGGCAAAGTCCTAAAGTCCCTAAACCGCCAGGGCACGGGCCTCACGAGGAAATCGAAACGTCCCCGCCATCGACCCGCCATCTGACCTGCCGGGCTCCGAGCGCGGAGTGCAGGGCCCGGCCAGGGACCGCGGAGCCCAAGGCGCCTCTGACTCTGCGTGCCGGGCTTCGGCCGGAGCGACGGCATCTCGCAGATGCTCCTAGAGGGACGGGGAACGTGGAACAATGCGAGTCGCAAGGCAGACACGCTGGTCTCCTGTGGAGAGGGCTGTCGCTCAGCAAAACCTCCTCGATCGCTGCCGGTGGAGGCTGCTTTTTCTCTGCATCCTGGGCTCACTTCCGGGGGGGGGGGGGGCACCTGCAAGAAGACATGATGCAGCCGCGGTGCGGTTGCCGCCGCACCTCTAGGGCGCAAAAGGCCAGAGTCGTTCTTTGGACCTGGAACACTTGCTGCGATCCGGCCGGCGTGTCCTTGGCAGCACATCTCACGCCGTCTGCTTGGTATGCTTGGTACGGAAGATGCGGCCGATGCAGCTGCAGGCATCCCAAAGTACAAACGACATGCGAGAATTCGAGAATACCTTCCCGGCTGCATCGAGAGGGTGAACCCTCACCCAGGCAGGAAGCGGGGACCATGTTCTGAAGCACTGTCCAAGGCCAAGGGTCTCTCACCACCTTGCTCGCCGGTCACGGGTGAGCCCGAGGAGGCCCAGCCAACTTTCAGGGTGTCAGTCTGCTCAGTCTGCTCCGGCGTCGCGTCCTGCGCCCAAAGCCGCATTGGGGCGCAGTGTATACGTAAGGTAAATCACAAAGTCGTGACAAGTCGTGTCGACACATGGCTGTCCTGAAGTTGGGCCCTGGTCGGGTCCCCATCGGCCCCCTTGCAAAACGGAAGCTTTGTCACATCCCGGGAAGCTTCCATGCAGAAAAGCCACCGGCTGCAGCGTCTCCATCTGACTGTCGGTCTTCGGCCGGACACCTTCTACCAGTAGAGTGAGCGCCTCTCTACCCGGCTACCCGGCTACCCGGCTACCGCAACCCGTCGGCCCTCCGAGCCTGTGCCTTTCGCTTTCTCACTCCTCGGACTGGCCTCCCCACGAGGCAGTGCAGGCCACAGGCTCCCACCCTCCCTCGCTCCCTCCCCGAGCCTTTTGCACAGAGCTTCGGCTTGTATCCCGTGAAGCTGAGCGATGGCACACCTTTCGCGCAGCGCAGGAGCAAGTCCTTCATTTCTGATGAGGGGCAAAGCCCTTTGAGCTCGGCTGCGAGCTCAGTGCTTCTTATGTGTGGGGACTCCGAGCACCTAGGGGCTTCAAAGGCCCTCCCATCACTGGGTTTCGAGCGGGCCGCCGCTCAACGGCCGAGCGCCGTCGCCTGGCAGCAGAAAAGTGCGAAGGGAAGCCTGCGAGGCCTCGATAAGGACGGTAGCAGTAGCAGCTTGTAGCAGATCTCGCAAGAATCATTGGTCGGGAGAAGCCAGCATCGCTTCCACGGCTCGAAGTAATGCATTTGGGCGCTGCGCAGTGAGGCAGAAATGTGATGGAGGACGCTGTTACCGGCGCAACTACTGGCGCAACTGAAAGAAGTCTCGTCTTTCTGCGGAAAGGGCCCGGGCGGCAGCGCGGCATCAACTTCGCTTTGTGACCTGTCCATGTTTCGCTGTGGCCTCGAACGGCCTCTCCGCCCTCCCCGGTCTCTGGATTCAGGACTCGGCCTTGAGGTCCGCTGTGACTGGGCGCTCTGCTGCGGCTGCTGGCCTGGCGACTGCTGACACGATCCAAGGATGCGTGCACAAAAAAGCCTGCACAACATGGCTTCCAGATTCTTGTCCGGCCTTTTCTTCTCGGGGAGGAGCGGCGCTTCGCTGCCGTGACCTTCGGTGCCTGGGCTGCTTGGGGGGCCCCTTGGGCCGCCTGCTGGGCCTCCTCGGCCTCCTGGAGGAGCTGATCCCAGAGGCTTGGCTCCAGGTCGGGTGCCGCCCGGTCGCTAGCAAAGGCAGCTGCAGCCCGCAAACCACGAGAGGGCGAGTCGGCGTCGGGAGCTTCCTGGGCCTGGACCTTCGGATCCTTTACCTTCCTCGGCCTCGCCTCCTCCCTACATTCTCCCCTCTCGTCCAATCCAGCAGAAAGCTGCTGGGACTTCCCCAGTACATGAGTCAGCCTCCTTTCTTGCTGATCCTGGAGATCCTGAAGCTGCTGCAGCTCCTCCGCAATCCTAGCTTCTTGCGCTTCACCAGGGACCGACTCATCCTTCACCTTTATCTGCTTTGGCTTGGCCTCGGCTGCGACAGCGCTCTCACGCTGGTCTCTCCGAGAGAAAGGACAGACCGTCTTCTGGGCGCTGTCCTGACGCTCGCTGCTGCCTTTCGATCTTGGTGTCGATACCTCACCACCTTCCACCACCGCTCTGGCTGTCTGGGCTGCAGCGATAGCTTTCTTCCATGCAGCACGGCTCCTGAGCCCTGCAGCGCAGGGAATCGCTGCTGCAGGCACTGTGGCGCGGCGCTGAAGCCTTGCGTTGTTTGGGTTGGCGGATGATGTGGCTGCCGACGCAGTGGCAGCTGGGGCCGATGGGTGGTCTGGAAGCTCCAGAACATCCGCAGCGACAGGGTGAACGGGTTCCACGCTGCTAGGTGCTTCGATCCTGGCTTTCTGCGTGGCGTTGTAAGCGCCGGTGCTCGATCGCTGACGCCGCTCTGTCATGGAAGCCTTCTGGGCAACAGGCCTTGCTCTCCCTTGGCTACTGCAAGTCGCTCCGATCTTTGAAGCACCTGCAAGGTTCACAAGTGTGGAAAAGCGCACCTCTGTGACAACCGAGCTACCTCAACAGCAAAGGCCAATCTTGCGTTGACGTGAGTGCAAAGCTGGCAACATGACAAAATGATCCAGAAATAATCGGGACCTGGTCCACTGCAGGCCCCGAGCGTTGCCAAGGGCCTCAATTGCAATGAGAATGGAGTGGACATGGCAGCAACAACAGATCAGGAGCAATGAAGACAACAGCCGCCATCATTGCAGCATATCATCATCAGAAGTGACAATGACGCTAGCCGCCACTGCTGCCGCTGCGGCTGCCACTGCGGCGGCTGCTGCTGCAGGAGGAGGAGGAGGAGGAGAGGGAGGAGAGCAGGGTCGCGACAGTGATAGTGAGGGTGACGATGACGGTGCTGCTGCTGCTGATGATGATGATGATGATGATGGTGGTCGTGGTGGTGGCGGTGGCGGCGGCAGGGCGGTGGTGGTAGCGGCACTGCCGATGATATGATGATGGTGCTGGTGTGGTGATAATGATGATGATCATCATCATCATCAACAACAGCATCAT